TTTGGACTAGTGACACGGACTTGGCCGGATGCCAGCAGATCCTGAATCCATCCAGTCCCGAATGCCAAAGTGGCTTGAATTAGGTAGTGGGGAAGATTGTATTCTGTGAGATAAGTAAAGGTTTTTTTTTCTTTTGGGGGGAGGAGGGGGTGTGTTGTCTTGTGTGTGCATGTATGAGATGAAGGAAATTCCTACTAGAGGTTTGCCTTTGACCAGAGTAAAAACCCTCTGCACATCTATCCGGCCAACCTACTCTATTGGTCCTAAGGGAGGAACCTGGCCTCCAGAAGGCAGTTTTGATTTAGATTTTGTCAACAAATTTGCTGATTTTCTGGCCACCATCAGATGAACTGAAGAGGAGCTCTACCTGAGTTTCTTCCCCAAGGTGACTGAGGAGTCCACAGGGATACGTTAAAAAGCTGTTGCAGCAGTAATAGTTGTCTTTAAAAAGAAAAGTAGAGCTCAAGAGCCCCATCTAGATGCAAACAATGTGTTAATGAAGGTCTCTATACATCTTGGTCTTTAAAAATATGCCAGCGCTTGCTGGGAGATCTAAAATAGTTATAGAAAAGTTTGGATCTTTAAAAAATCAGCAAGCGCCTACAGATAGATCCAAACTAGAAAGAGAAGACACTGAACACCCCAAGGCAGAGACGGATATTAACAATCTAATAATTTTAATATTTATATTAAAAACAAAGCATTCTCTTAACAGTTTTTTACATTCATTAATATTTTTCTCATATCTAAATAAGTTTTCGTTCAGTCTCCAAGTCCTTCTTGCTTGCATCCCAAATTCCAGCTCTATCCAAACCGGATTATGATCTGATAAGGCTCTGGAACATATCTTCGTCTTCTTTACCCTAGAAAGCAAATAATTGGTTGTTAGTATGAAGTCAATCCTGGAAAAGGATTGGTGTCTATCAGAAAAAAATGTGAAGTCGTATTCTTCTGCATTCCTTTTTCGCCAGATATCTCTCAATTCAAAATCGTCCATCATGTCGAAAAAGGACTTAGGTAGTTTCGCTCGCGTTTGGATATTTTGCCGAGAAGACTTCTTGTCTTTCTTGGTATCCATAACACCATTCCAATCACCCAGTAATATGCAAGATCTATAGTCCCAATGTACCAACTTAGTATGAAGCATTTTATAAAATTTATCTTGTTGTTGATTGGGAGCATATATTCCCATTAGAAGTATCCTTTTCCCTTCTAGTACCAGTTCTATTGCAATATATCTTCCTTGAGAGTCTGCTTCAATTAATTTGGCTTTCATGTCCTTTCTTAAGTAAATAACTATACCATTTTTCTNATCTTTAAATGTTCTGAGCTCTGTAGAAATTGTCGTCAGAGCCTGACCCCTCCTACAGAGCTGTTTGGCGCCATTTTCTGTGTATTTCTAGCAAGTAAATTGTCAGAAGGAATTCTTTAAAAAAAATGCAGTTAAAGATTTATGCATACAATTAGAAGTTCACCAGTATTAGTTCTGCCCGCTTTGAAATCAGTAATAAATCAGTCTTTGAGCTGAGGGTGGATGTGTGCCTTTGTTCTGCAAAAAAGGCAGAAGAGGTCCTTGACGCGGAGAAATCACTATGTTGCCGGGCAGCTCCCACTTCCCATCCCAGATTTATGTTCTGGGGGGGTTAATTGGAGTGCTGCCCAAACATAGCTTGCTCGCCTTCTTCTCCTTGGCCCAGAGAAGAGGTAATCAAACTGCCAAACAGTTGATGGATACTGTTTAGAGAGTTTAACGCAGCCAAGAATCTGGAGCTGTTAAAAATAACACCCTCAAACCCCGCCCAACCGGAAGTCCCCTTTATCCAAATTCTTGATGTTATTTCCATAGGAGATTTTGATTCCTTTAATGTTCAATATTTTTCCTCAGTTTATGATAATAGTGGCACATTTGTCCAGTCCCAGCTCCATTACAATATATTATATGTATATATTCGGGATGGTGAACCTATACACGCACTGGCCAGCTGAGTTCAACCTTTTTTGAAGCCATTTTTTACCCTCCCCAGGCTCCAGAGGCTTTATAGGAGCCTGGGGAGGGTGAAAAGAGCCCCCCGGCCTCCGGAGGCCCTCCGGAGGCTTCAGGAGCTTCTCTGAAGCTCCCAGAGCACAAAAACCCGCCCCTACCTATGAGCAAACCGGAAGTTCAGGAACAGACTTCTGGTTTGCTCATAGGGCCATTTTTAGTCCTCCAGAGAGCAAAAAAGACCCTACGAGCAAACCAGAAGTTCTGGTTTGCTCGTAGGGTTGTTTTTTGCCCTTCAGAGGCTTCAGGGAAGCCTCCTGAAGGTCCCTGAAGCCTCCGGAGGGCCTCCGGGGGGGGGAGGCTGTTTCTGCCCTCCTTAGGCACCTATAAAGCCTCTGGAGCCTGGGGAGGGCGAAAAAAGCATGCAAAAATGGGGAAGCGCCTCTCATGCATGCATGGGCACTGTGGGGGTCACACATTCCTCCTCATCCCTGATGACTGGCTGTAGCTGTGATCCTTCTCCACCCTGCATTTCTGGTTTCTAGGTCTGTAGCCTCCTGCTTTTGCTGTGTCTCTCACCTTTCCTCTCCAGCCAGATGCTCATCCGGTCATTTCCCTGAAGGCCCCTCCAAATTCCCAGCCTCACTTCTTACTTCAGGTCCTCCAATCCTAGCTTGGAGGCCTCAGCATCCTGCTAACCCCCCTACAAAGTCCCCAGAGTTGGCCTCTCCTCTATCTAAGCTGGAGTCCGGGGAAGCCATCACATAATTGGCCTATAATTGCCTGGCACTGTGCCTTTTGTTGAATTTTTTCATTATCTTGTAATTTTGCCTAATATTAATCCATCTTCAATTTCTCCTCTTTGCAGTATGTTGTTAAAACTGCTCTGTAATGTATGTAGATCCTCCAGATGTTTCAACCCAAAACCATGCAGTTCTTCATCCAGTACTAATAAATTCTTAATCTATCTTGACATTTTCTCCAACATTTCTGCTATTATTACTAGTTCTTTCATTTTATCTCCTTTTTTATTCTTATCCGCCTCCCCTATTCAAGTTATAACTGTCCCATAACTGTGCCCAGAACTGCAGTTTCTTGCTTGCTATGTTCACTGCAATCTCTCTATTGACTGATTGGTAGAAATGCTTCTAATTCAACTGAAATTGGAAATTCTGCTTATAGAGTGCAATTTGAGCTTCATATCTATTGATCTTCTGGATGAGAGGTATTTGCTGTTTTATTATTTCCTGGGATTCCTCAATATTCTTTGTTTCTAGGTAATATTTCTTGATCAAGTATTCTTTTATCTTCTTGTTCTTTAGCTTCTTTTCTTTCATCTATTCTAGCTAGCTTGTATCTGATCTTAGTTATACTGACCTTATTTCCAACCTGATCTTCTATTTTGGTCATGTACTGTTTATTATTATTATATGCACCAGCAATGTAACATCACAGTGCCAGTTCTTTAGCTACTTGGCCTTCATGTATATTGAGTTCTTCTCAATTTGATGTTTTAATATATTAGTGTATGTGTGGATGTTTAATCTATCAGTGGATGTAAGCAGTGTGGCATTTTTTATTTATCAAATGTAATTTTTGTCAATGCACAAATTTTTCAAATGCCATAAAAATTGGATGAAATATAGTATGCTAATTGTTGCATATTCAATATGCAACGACCTGATTGGTTGGTCGTTTTGACAGTTGGTCTGAGTGCTAGTATAAATACCCTGACAGTTGCAGGGAACGTTTGAATCCCTCGTCGCCAGTGTTGTAAACTCGTGTGTGAGTGTGGGTTGTTGTTGTGAGGGATTGACACGCAGGAGCCATGTATGCAAGACAGATCTTTATNCATACAATTAGAAGTTCACCAGTATTAGTTCTGCCCGCTTTGAAATCAGTAATAAATCAGTCTTTGAGCTGAGGGTGGGCGTGTGCCTTTGTTCTGCAAAAAAGGCAGAAGAGGTCCTTGACGCAGAGAAATCACTATCCTGCCGGGCAGCTCCCACTTCCCATCCCCAGATTTGTGTTTTGGGGGGGTTAATTGGAGCGCTGCCGAAACATAGCTAGCTTGCCTTCTTCTCCTTGGCCCGGAGAAGAGGTAATCAAACTGCCAAACAGTTGATGGATACTGTTCAGACAGTTTAACGCAACCAAGAATCCAGAGCTGTTAAAAACAACAACCCCGTCAGGCCCCGCCCAAACCAGAAGCCGCCATCTTGATGTTTTTTGACCCACTTTGACAAGTTCCCTGCAAGGCTGGCTCCTGATTGATATAGGAGTGCTAAGTGATTAAATTTTTCTTTTCAAATAAGCCATGGATGGTTTAAGACAGGGGTATAAAACTCAATTTCATTGAGGGCCACTTCAGGGTTGTGTTTGATTTTGGGTGGCTGGGGGGGACATGGTCAGGGTGGGCGTGGCCCACTCTACATCACTCGTTTTGGAAGTGCCTATGATGGCTCAAGTATTCTGCCAGTGAAATGGGCTTCCGACCTCCATTTTCAGCTGTGACGGCCTCCTGCACCCATCTGCCAGCAAAAACAGAGCTTGAGGTGGGTGTGTGCACGGCCCTCACGAGCTCCATTTTTGGCCACAACAGCCTTCTGTAGCCTTTGGCCAGCGAAAATAAAGCTCAGTGGGCCACACACGGCCCTTGTGAGCTCCATTCCCCCCCCCAACTCCATTTTCAGAGGGCTGCAAGCGGCCATCATGGCCAAAAACGGAGCTCGCGAGTTGCTCACCATGCGCCAGTCCTTCGCTGTTTCCAGGAGCCCCCCGCGGGGCACATCTAAGCATCCCTGGTTTAAGAACAAGCATCTTAACCTCTGCCTTTGTGAAACGGTGGGATGATCTACTGAGTCAGCCAGCAAGAGGACTTTCCAACCCCCATCCCTCACATTAATAATGAAATTCATGGGATAATGAGACAGAAGAGGCACGTTTAACTGCCCCTCTTTACCCGCTGTGGCAATTTCTGGGTCCACTAAACATCCTCGTCTTTTCTGTTGTTTTGCAGCCCTTGTCGTGCGGTTTCTCACCAAGAGGTTCATTGGAGACTATGAAGCCAACACGGGTACGTCTGGCGGCTGCCTTGTGGGGTTTGATGGAAGCAAATGTGGGCTGGGTCTGTCTGCTCCAGAGCCTGGAAGGGCGAGTGGATGGATGGGTTCCCAGTGTCCGGAAAGAGAATGGAGCCAGTCCAGAGGAGTGGGGGGAGTCCTGTTTTTAGGATTCAGAAATGTCTCATTTTCAGATCATCCCACTTTTCAAATTTCGCTTCTAGCAATGACGGTCATAAATCAAAGCCCTGTGATTTGCAGTCTGTGCCCTCCAAAGGGGAAGGGGCTGGGGTTTTTTAAGCCAGCCTTGTCTCCATTGAGAGGGAGCTGAGCGATGACTTTCCCCGACACAGTTTTAATTAAAAAGAAAGAAAGGATCAAAGGATCCTGCCATGCAGCCCCTGAACAAACAGAGGCCATCTCTGTTCTCTTCTTTTTTCTTCTGCCAAAGAATGGAGCTGCCAGGGCGTTCAAAAAAGCAGCTTCAAAGACAGCCTTCTGTTGGTTTCTAGTGCTCTGAAAAAAGTGAGGGGAGCTCTGGGTTTTAAGGGAGGAAGGGGGCTTTTGTCATCTGAATTGCCTCAAATCCACTCTGTGCATTCTTGGTCCTCTTGCAATGGAATATCAAGCTTTGCAAAGAGTAAAGGAATTGCTTGGGAATGCTTGCAAATAAGAACATAAGACCAAAGATCCATAAAACTGCTCACAGTTGGAAAATCCCTGCACCACTCAGGGATGATTGGGAAGAAGTGTTTTGCAGCTCACACAAACACAGTGTGTCTCTGCCGTAGCTGGAAGAGGCCTTCTCCTGGTTCAGGCTTCAGTGTAAACCTTTAAAAAGATGACTCTGCTTTCACACGTACTTTAAGGCAATGGTTCTCAACCTTACCAACTTTAAGATACAGAGACTTCAATTCCCAGAATTCCCTAGCCAGCACGGCCTTAAAGTTGCCACGGTTGAGAACTGTTGCCTTAAAGTAAGTGTGAAAGACACACTGTGTTTGTCTGAGCTGCAAAACACTTCTTCCCAATCATCTGCATTCATTCATGAGAACAATGTAAAAAAAACACCCAATGTACTGGTTTGCAAACACCATGTGGAGTAAGGAAAATTGCTAGTAGAATGCAAGTTTGACAAATCAATTCCATGGAAATAAGGAAGCAATGAAATGGATAGATCTGCAAATTGGAGAAACTGCTTATTGTTTTAAATGAATTTATTAACTGCTTTAGACAAAGGAATTTGTCTCAGCATTTTACAAAAGCGAGAGCTGCAGCCAATGCAATAATATCAATTACACTTCAGTACAATCTTGTTTCTTTTTTTGTCTGCCAAATAGGGTTGAAATTCCATGTCCCAAAAGATTTTATCTGTCCTGATTGTCATCCCTTGTTTGATATCCTTGTTGTGATTATGGTGTGAGGACATAAATTTGCAGTGGTAACTGTCAACCAACAACTGATAACCCTAACCTTAAAGTTAGCCCTAAGCCATTTAGCAGGCAAAAAGGGAGCAAGAGCCCTCCAATAATAGATAATGAAAGAGCACCAACATATAGTTAAGAGTTACAAAATTACAATGAAAATAACATTCCTGGCACTCAGGAACTCAAATGTAGCCAAGGCCCTTTGGAACCATCCAGTTCCTATGAGTCTCCAGGAGACACCCCCCCCCCTTTGCCTCGAGAGCCTTCTGTCTTAGAAGAAGGGAGACCCCCTGAGAACACTGGCTTTAGGGTCCCTTCACATCTCATAGAATCATAAGGCTGAAAGGGACCTCAGAGGCTTTCTAGTCCAATCCCTGGTCTAGCCAGGAGGACTTATACAATCCCATCAAGCATTTTTTTTGAAAACCTCCAGTGATGGAGCACCCAGCCCTTCCAGGGGGAAACCGTTTCGCTGGTTAACTGTTCTCACTGTCAGGGAATTTCTCCTTGGTTCTAAGCTGGATCTCCCTTGAATGATCTTGTCCTGCCCTCAGGTGCTTTGGAGGACCCTCTCCTCCACGGCAGTCCCTCAAGGACTGGGAAACAGTTATTACCTCATCCCTACCCCTTCCCTTTGTTGGGCTAGAAAGGCCTCATTCCCTTAACTCTTCTTCATCCTATGCTTTCACCTCCATTCAGTGGGTTGAAATACGCATATGAAATGGACGTTCATTTAATGACTATTCCACAGTTGCAAC